TTTATAACTCAACCCCAGCAGTCAATCTAAGCATCACAGAAACTGAAACAACCAGACACCAAGTTGACTGATGGACAGATACGGCTCGATTCGTGTTGGATTCCTTGGTTCCTGTGTCTGTCTCAATGTAATAATGGCTCCTTCTATCAAAGCTAAGTACTGGCTACAGAGGCAGCTTCCTGAGCACTGCTGCACAACCAAACACAACACCACCATGTGTATGGAGGCTGTCACCGGTAGGTAGCTGAGGCTACCACCTGATTAAACAAACAAGACATCAATCAGCACAGAGAACAGGGGCTGGTCATAGACTCACAAAAGGATTACCGTGGAGGTAAACACTGTGCCCAGCCAAACACAAACCACAGGCAGTGCCCGCAGCAACAAAAGCTGAACAAGCTATCTTCTCAGGATACAGTTAAACACATCACCCAATAAGCCAGTTTACAAAATAAGATGAAGAATTTACTTTAAGGACATTTCCAACAGTCCAGCTATTCACATAAGATAGATACTATATTTAAAAGTCTGTATTTTATGATAAAAATTTTTGCTAAAGAAAACTCCCCCAAAACAAGCCATCCAAAAGCCTTATCCCAGGAACCTCAAACAGCTTCTCATTATTATCTGGCTTCCTGTTGAACTTACCTATAAAGAACATGTGACTATCTAGTGAACAGACCTCTTGGCTGTTATATTTCTCATACAAATGAATAAATGGGCATTTTGGCCCCTTGGTCCATTTGGGGGAATCTCAGCATGAATCTGATGTGACTTAACTCTAGGGGACAATGCTGAGAGACCAACCCACTTCCAGTTCCTCACAGGAGCTGAGACTTTTGTGACAAATCATATGTGGTCTCGCTCTTTCTGACTTCTTCCAGGGTCCCAAGAAACTCAAGGAGGTCAGGAGCTTTGTCAATCTTTCTCACTTTTTTTCCTTTGGCACCTGGGAGACTGCTTACACATTCCATCAGCTCAGTTAATATTTATTGGGTGAATAAGGAATGAACCGCCTGCAGCTGCCAGGAGAGAGTCAGACTCCAAATATCCTAAGAGGTTGGCACCAAACACCAGCTTTGACAAAGCCTTTGGAACTTCATCTGCGTAAGACATTGTTTGTGAACTGGATAAAACTGAGACAGAGGTTGTCTGCACTTTGAAGTAACTGCCTAGTGAAAAGCAAAGGGGCAGCTGCACTTTGGGTGGTAGGGAAGAAATAAAACGTGGTTAATCAAAGGGGCAAGGCACTGTACCTTTGAAAAAGAAATAATAGGTCAATCAAAGAGGCTAACTGTGGGACTCCTGAAGAAAGAACACCCTGCCCTTTTGGAAAAAATGCAAAAACTGTGGCTGACATATGACATTCCTTTGAGACCCTACAAATACAAAATGAATCTTTGTTTAGTGCCCCTCTACCTATGGAATTGCCTGCTTTTCTGTCCTTCCTGAGATGCTGTCTATGGACTAAATCTGCTGTTCCACCCTGCTCTGCCAATGGGGTAGCCAGCTGTGTTTCCTCCCTAAAGTATAATTGCATTTTATTTTTTGCTTTAGGACCAGTCCATTGCTGATTTCCATCTTGCATAAGCCAGTAACTCACATAGCTGTGAAAACAATACTGGGCACACATGAAACCTCAGGAAAAACGTCTCCCTCTTGCTCTGCTCCAACAGTGCTGCCTGCATGCCACGTCCCACTGTTCTGGAATACATGTTTTCAACGAGTGTCCTGGGAAGAAACGAAATATGAGACAGTTCGCTTGCAGGAAGCTAATTAAGGACTTCTCTTTACAAAATAACACTCTCCATCATTAGGGTCCAAGAGCCTTTTGAGCTACTGTTAGCAATCTCCTATTAAAATTGCAAACATTCAGGAATTTTTGACTCTAAGCCAGAGTGATAACAACTTCTTTTATTATATGAGAAACATTTCTAGAAAAAATAGACACACGGTGGTAGCCAAGCAGCTTTAAGGTGACTTATAGCAGGGCAGCTTAATCACAGCTGATTTTTTTAATTGAAAAGGCTGCTTATCAAAGATATTAGAATGTCATTTAGCAAACGCAAAATTTATACAAGTGGGTTTTCCCCACCATATGTGATGCTGCATACCTGTAGTCCCAGCACTTAGGAGGGTGAGACAGGAGGGTGCTAGTGCAAACCAGCCAGGGTATACACTGAGTTCAAACTCAGCCTGAGCTACATAGTGAGATCCTACATAGTAAAATCAAAAAAGCAACAACAAAGGGATTTTTCCCCTTTTTGTAAAGGAAAAGCATAAAAGCAAATGATTTTAGGACAAAAAGTGGATGTGGTATAAAGTAACTAATGTGACTGAGATCTGCTAAAAATAGAAGCCCGAAGGATTTGGCAAGTTTCCGTGCTCTCTCAAGAATAAATCTCCAAGGCCTGCCGAGCAAGGATGAGGTAAAGTCCTCAGAGTTGAAGCCAATTAGTGCTCAGTAAACAGATCAGATTGTTTTTCTTCCTGCCCAATTTCAGGCCCACCTTCTAAGCAGCTCATATGTGGAGGCAAAACATTCAAGTTCATATTCTCAGAGCAATTCAGCTCACACAGTGGATTCAATTAGACCACGGAGGAACAGCGTGGGTTTTGTTTTGTGTCTAAGCTTCTGGCAAAGCCAGAAAAATGTGCTGAGTCACGAATTTTTAAGGCTAAAAGATTTTGACAAGGGTAGGCTTGACGGGGGACAAGAGCTGTGACAGTTGTACAAATTGGGAATAACAGGGAACTCACTGTTGTTCTTCTAAAGGAAGCCCTGTGTAAAATAAATATTTACCCCACACCTGTGCCCAGGAATACCGAGTGCCTCCCTCCATATAGCACTGGGAAGCCCCATTCTTGAGAATAAACACAGCAAGAATAATAATAGCAAATATTTATGGACACCCATCATGTACCAAGCGTGCCTATATATTGTAAATTTAATTTCCACTATAATCCTATGGTATATTTTATAAGTGAGAAAACTGAGGCTTTGAGAGGCTAATAATTTGCTCACAGTTAACCCAGCCACAAAGACTGAGCTAGGATTGAACCCAAGCCACCTAGGTATGGAATCATAATCTTCCTAAGTGTGGATACTGCATCCCCAACAGTACCTATGTGTTCATATATCTCTGATCGCCATAATCAGCTATGGCTAACTCCTTACTTAGAGATCTTATATTCTTCACACCCTATAGAAAAAGGTCCCAAGATTATTATGGAGGAGAAATTGTATGCACTGTGCTGCTAACACTCTTCCTAAAATAAAAGAGGATGTGAGACATTCTTTTCTTCAAAATAGAGCCCTCGTTCATTTCCTGGAACGGTCAGCGAGTGGATAATCCCATACTACTGTAACTGGTGGCAGGCGAGGCTATCCAAGGTCATGGAACTTCTCCATCAGCACTTACCATTCGGTCATGACCTCCCAGTGCTGGAACTCCTAGTTCTGGGGAATTGCTCCTGTGGAGACTTTCTCTCTTCTGATTGCCCTGCAGAGAATTAGACACCATGTGGCACCTTGGAGGCTCATCAAGGGAAGAAGGGAGAAGCAGGGAGGAGTGAAGAGATACTGAAGTCTGCAAGGAGAGCTCCTGGTAAACTTTCACTCCTTACCTTTCCCAAACTCGCCCAAGCCACTTGCAATGGACGATTTGTTCCAATCAATATTTTACAATAGACTTTTAAAATGCCAATTCTAGGGATGTGGACACATCCTGAAAAATTATGTGCATAAGTGACTTCTCTATGCACTAAAAAAATGGGCTTGACAGCAACCTTCTCAAGTAGGCCTTATTTGCTAGTCGTGCTAGAAATCAAAGGGCTTATTTGAATTTTCAGAAAGTGAAATCTTTATTTTACTTTTGGAAATTACTTGTACCGAAAGGGGAAAATTGTACAAGAGAAATTGTTCCTTTTAAAGGTTTGTTCTTTTGAAACTGCCTAGCTGTGTAACTGCTTCCTGGCTTTGTGATTACTTTCTTGACCTCTGTAACCATGAGAACATAACCAAACACACAGGATGCCTGATCATACCAGTCTACCAAGCTTCATAAACTAATGATCATTAACCTACCCTTGTAACCAATGATCTCACCCTGCTAGCTAATCAGAACTGCCAGGCTGTCCTCTCACCTTTGTAGCCCCTGCTTGTGCCTCATACAGAAGCCCTAGAACACCAGAGATCAGGGCCTGATGTTCTGGGAATGATCCAGACCAGTGTCAGTCGACATAAATAAACCTGCTTCCAAACCCTGGGTGTAATTTTGGTATTTCTGCTTACCATTGCAGTACTTTTGTAATGTGTTATTCAGATCATTATGATTTTTTTTATTATAAAGAGTGTCATAATTTCTTGTTCACAGGGTTATCATTAGCTATAAACATTATAAGCTTGGAACATGTTTTAAAATTCTATAAATCATTAAGTCGGACTTGGTAGTTTGAAACTATAATATCACTACTTGGGAGACTGAGGTAAGAGGATTATTTGAGCCTGAGAGCTTGAGATCCTCTTGAGCAATACAGTGATACTCTGTCTCAAAGGAGAAAAGAAAAGAAAGAGAATTGTATAAATTATTAGTGAGCTCCTTATTAATATTGTCAGAGAGCAACGTGTCCGCTTTTCCTAAGAACATTGATTGTGCAGGACTGATATGCCAACTTTTTGGAAAGCAATGTAATAGTTAATTTTGAACATGTTCTTCTTGACTATCACGTTCTGGAACCTGAATTACATCAGATAATGTATACGTTTACATTCAAATGAAGTGTCACTATGTTAGGGAGAAAACTAAGAGAAAAGGAAGCAACTGCAGTGATGTGGGCTGGGTGTGGTGGTGCATGCTGTAATCCCAGCACTAGGGAGGCTGAGTGCGAGACTGAGTTTGAAGTCAGAGTCACACAGTGAACTCAAGGCCAATCTGAATTACACAGCAGTGAGATCCTGCCTCGGAAAACAAACATAAAAAATAATTTTAAAAAACTGATGCAAAACAAACAAAAATACTTTATTGTAGCTTAAAATTCATTCCCCAAACAGTGGACACACTGAATGACATTAGTAGATATATGGGCAATTATCAGCATTGATAATGTGGAAAGGTCATGAAAATCAGTTTTTCAGGTCATTGGATTTTCTCAAACACAATATTGGCAGAAAAGGAACTTTCAACACAAAAACACATTTTTTCTTTTAAATTTCATTTATTTTATTTACTAATATTCTCAGTGCCCAGTGATGAGGTACAGAAGTTTCCAGAAGTCTGAACACATGGAGCAGAGGTCTGAGGTGTCCCAAAGCCCCATTATTGCATTATTGAACAGGATAAACTCCTTTTGAAGTTTCTATTATACACAGGAAAGTTCTATTTACCTACTGCATGGAAGGGCTGCAAGGTCTCGTGCTAATACAGTGCTTCAGGTGCCTTCCAAGGAAAGCAATGTAGAAGTACAAAATAAACAATCATGTATTTCAAAAGAAATTAAAAAACTAATTTGGCACAATGGGAAGGGTGCCTCTTATACAAAGAACACTTGGCTACTTATTTATAAAAATCCCTGACCTCGTGGCTCTTAAAAAAATTTAATTAAGAGAATAAATGTTTCTCTATTGCCAATCACATAACGGTCATTCTCAACCCAGGCTATGTTATCAGAATCACTTGAACATGTTAAAAATGTAGATGTTTGGGCCACAGCCTACATCTACAGAATTAAATGAAAATATCTAAGCATGGTACCCAGGCACCTATAATTTTAAAGGCTCAATAAGGGATCTAGATATATACCAATGTTTAAAACCCATTTCTTTGAGAAAAAATATCAATTTATTAAACATTTTCTTCCTAGAACTTATCCTTGAGTGAAGTTAGACTAGGGCGTCAATTTCTGATTGCTTCTTTATTTTCCCATGTCCCAGGTAGACTTAGCATGTGTTCTCTCTCTCTCTCTCTCTCTCTCTCTCTCTCTCTCTCTCTCTCACACACACACACACACACACACACACACACACACACACACCTCATATATTCACTGTTTAGTTCTGCCTTTAAATTAAAATGTGATGCTGGGAAAATCTGATCACAGCAAACAAATACCTCATTATAGAAAGATATGCAAGCACTTGCAATCATCCCCACTGTGCCAAAAGCAAATGGAAGTGCCCCATTTGCTACATGGAATGGTTGAAAAATGCCATTTCCTACTTGGAAGCAGGTAAAGTCAGCACTTTCTGGGAAGCACCAGCTGAGTGGACATTGACAAACAAGTGAGCCAAGGTCTTGTGGTCAACCCCGGAGCAAGGCTACGCCTTTGCTGGGTGGGTGTCTGCATCACAGCAAACACACTACCACAGAGTGACTTAGGAACTGAAACAGTTCATGTGCAGCGGGCACCATATGGTGCTAAAGCAAGACAAGTAAAATAAAATAATGCAAACAGATGACTATAAAATAGGTTTTTATGTAATCACTTTGCTCCGCTGCAAGTCTTGATGCTGTTTTATAACTACGTTCACTTCCTGACAAAGTGGCTTGGAGCCTGTTGACGAGAAGGGGGGAAGGTCCACCACAGAGTGACTTATTGCCTGTTGGCCTTCACATACACCCCATCATGAGGCTTGCATCAGCTTCAACATAGAAGAGACACTGGGCCCCTTGCGGTGGAACTAAGGAGATGGCTGAAAATCTATACCTTCCACAGAGAAAGCCTTCAGAGGCTGGTCGAAAGTTTTACAATGTTAACAACTAATGAACACAATAAAAAATAGTCCTACTTCTTGGGGGAGGGGGTACAGGGGATAAAAGTTACACATAGAATACATAGAGTATGATATATAAAAATTTTAAAAATGCATTCAGAGTCAGCCACCATCAAATTCTGCTATGAGAAAAGTCTTGATTCTATAGAGAGTTTGCTTGAAATTTTTCAAAATATTTTTTGTGATATGGTAAAAAAGAATGGCAGAAAAAATAGTGTCTTCCAATATTCCTCTAAACATTAGAGGCAACTTTGTACAAAAAAGTTGTTGGTGTTGGCTTAGGTAGTTGTTTTTTACACATATCCCAGGGGGCCAAGGCTGCCAGCAGCAGAATAAAACCCCCTAGCAGGACACAGAAGCCACTAAAATAAAACGCAATGTCGTAGGTCTGGGTCCAGTCGTAAAACCAACCTGAAAAGAGAATAAACAAAACTGAGTTTCTTAGAAATAGATGAATGTAAAGCCATACTCTAATTTTAATCAATTTTACTTACAGTTAGGAGCACAGTACTGTTTCCAATGTAAACAACTATCCTTTAGAAAGGAGACTCTCAAATATTTAGATGACAAGGGGGATGTAATAGGGAGTAAGGGGGAACAAATATGATCAAAATATATTATATGCATGTATAAAAATACCACATTGAAGTTAGGCGTGGTGGTACATGCCTAGGAGGCTGAGACAGGAGGATGACAAGTTCAAGCCCAGCCTGGGCAATTTAGTGACTTAAAAAAAACCCTGTCTCAAAATAATAATAATAATAATAATAATAATAATAATAAAGGAGCTGGTGCTATAGTTCAGTGTTGAAGTCCTGATTTCAGTTCTAGTAGCAAAGCCAAAGTAACCAAAATGCACTGAAACTTAATGCCTTGTAAAATTAATGGGCATGAATAAAAATATATTTGCTTCTAAAAAGAAAAAATTTTAGACACAAAGCAAACATTTTGAGTTTCTCCTAAATAAAAGAATGACTACAAAAACAAAGCCGATTGACTTTCTAAACTAAAACACGGTGATCATGAATACACCATGAGACATTCCATACAGATTTATTCTTTGCAAATCTATGCAATCTGAATTTCTATATCTGGAGCTATTATAATGAAGAAGAGTAAACTGTGTTTATTTGAAGTTAAATATCTTACCAACAATTGGTGGTCCAAGGCTATTTCCAAGTCCAGCAAAAAACATTAATATTCCATAGGCGTGAGCTAATTTTTCAATTCCCACAGTCTTGGTGGTCACGTATGGGAAGATGGACCAGTTACCGGTAAGAAACCCAATGACTGCAGAAAGCATTGCCAATGTGACATAACTTTTGGCAAATGGAATTGCACACAAGGCCAGGCCCATGCTTATTAAGGTAGCCACATAAAGATATAAGGTGTTAATCCACTTAAAGTCAGCCAGAATCCCTAACAGGAGTTTCCCAACTGCTGTCATAATTCCTATAATGGAAATGAGAGGCATAATAAACTCCTCTTCCTTCACGTTGGAACTTCTTGCTACGTCTTCCATAAGTAATGAAGGTGGAAACCCCCCAATGTCAAAGAGTAAGATAGCAATAAAAAGCGCAGAAAATACTTTGTTTTTAAAAAGAGAGACAGTTTCCCCACAGTAATTTTTATACAACTGCCACTTCCTCTTGGCAAGCTGTTTGCAAAAATATGTCTGCTCTGCAACTTTCTGTCTGTAGGTTTCAGGTTCTTTTGTGTGTGTGATTGTCGTGGGGCTTTTATGAAGATTTTCCTGTTTGCAGTCACCATTGGCCAATGCGCCTTTGCATTTTGCCTCATTACTGCAGTTCTTCTCCAGAATGTTTATACTCTCCTCCTGGCTCTTTTCTCTTTCATTGTAAATGGAGTATCTGTCTGGTACATTTTCTGGAGCTGGTTTTTCAGGTAAAGGACAGTCAGAGATCTGCAGCGGTCTCATCAGGCTGCCACAGGCTAATATATTTAAAGCTAAAGCACCAACAATCAGCAGGCACCCATCCAGTCCATAGAAGTCAATCAGCATCCTCTGGAGAGCAGCATAGATAAAGAGGCCAACACTTGAACCTAAAAGGGAAATGGGAGCTGTTAGTCTTCATTTCATAGCTTAGGGTTCTCAGATCAAGCATTAGAAACATCACAATATACACCGGCATTCATATTCATACGCGTGTGTGTGTGTGTGTGTAGGTGTGAATTTCTTTCTCTCTTTCACTTTCTTTTTTAAGACAAGGTGATGATAAACTCACTATCTCGCCTACGCTGACCTCAAACACAAAGCAAGCCTCCTGCCTCAGCTTTCCAAGTGCTGGAATTACAAGTGGTGCCACCATACCTGGCCGTGTACCTGTCTATTAAAGTAACAAAATAGTGTTGATAGCAATAACAACAATAATAGTAATAGCAATATAATATTCATTTACAGTTCGGATAGTGTTAATGCTGCATTATCTTGTTTAATCCTTTTAATAATCCTATTGAATAGATCGTATTATTACTCCCATTCCACAATAAAGTGACTGACATGTGTAAAGCTTGGGACATTTGCCACAGATCACAGTGCTATAAATAATACAAGGATTCACACTTAGTCTGACTGTAGGAGCCCATAGTCTTAGCACTATGTAACTATTTTTTGTATTTATTATGAGCTGGGCCCTATATATATATTTATCGCCTTTAAGAAGGCAAATTTTCATATTTTATGTTTGAGATAAATAATACAGATTAGTTTTTAGGGTATCTGTAATGTTTTCATAGTTCAGATCCATTGCTGTATCACCAGAATAATAGATTTATATTTTTATGCATTATTAAAATCATAACAATAAATGGGAATTTGATAGAGTATATAAATTCTACATCATGCAACAAGGTAAATAGTCCTTTGTATCTGCATCCATCACATAAAAAACACTGGGATGCCAAGTTACATAAACCCAATTAATTTGTGCTGTTCTCATCTGGTTCTGCTTCTAATTTATAAAACGTGGAGTATTTTAAAAACTTAAACATCTTCAGGAAATGTGATGTGAAAAAGAAAGAAAAAGTAAAATATCAATAAAAGAAAACAGTCTGAGTGACCATACCTATAAAATGATCTATTCCAAACAATAGCTTAACGCTGACAGGGTACAAGTGGAACCAAACTCCAGACGTGATAGATGACATGAATACTTGCTGTAAAATCCCATCTCATTGCCCAGGGTAGAGGCACACACCTCTAATCTCAGCTTCTCAGGAGGCTGAGACCAAAAGACAATAAATTCAAGGCAACTTAGTGAGATCCTGCCCCAAGACTGAGGCAAAAATTGAAGAAGGGCTGGGGATGCAGCTCGGCGCAAAAAAACTGAGTTCAAACCTGTATGGTCCACAAAAAAAGAGGAGAGGACAGGGAAGGGGAGGGGAGGGGAGGGGAGGAGAGGAGAGGAGAGGAGAGGAGAGGAGAGGAGAGGAGAGGAGAGGAGAGGAAGAGAGAAGAGGAGAGAAGGGGAGGGGAGGGGAGGGGAGGGGAGGGGAGGGGAGAGGCGAGGAGAGGGGAAGGGAGAGGAGGGGAGGGGAGGGGAGGGGAGGAGAGGAGAGGAAGAGAGAAGAGGAGAGAAGGGGAGGGGAGGGGAGGGGAGGGGAGGGGAGGAGAGGAGGAGAGCAGGGGGAGGAGGAGGAGGAGAACAAATAATAATAATAAAGTAAAAATTCAGCTTGCGAAGTAGCATGTGCCTCTAATACTAGCTACTTTGGAGGCTGAAGCAATGAAGACTGCAAGTCTAAGACCAGCCCAAGCAACTTAGGGGGACCCTGTTTCAAAACGATATACATAAATATAAAAGGATGGAAGTACAGCTCAGAGATAAAGTGCTTGTCTACATGCACGAGACTCTGGGTTTAATTCTTGGTACAGTGAATGAATGAAGGAATGGAGAGAGAGAGAGGGAGGGAAGGAGGGAGAGACGGAGGGAGGAGGGAGAGGAAGGGAAGAAAGAGAAATTCTTATAAATAACCAAATGGCTCATAATTTAGAGTTGTAAGAAAACATTTTTGAGGAAAAACTCAGTTATCCCTTCTTCATATTTTTCAAGTTAACTGTTCATTCCCAAAGAGGGGAGAAGAATCTTTGCATGGGTATATTAATTAATGGTTTATGTTCCTGCATTGGGAGCTAAGACAACTTGGTCAGTACTAGGAGTGTCTCCACGCTGACTATCGACAAGTAATACTAGACAAACGTAATCCTTTCCTTAGTTCTGTAAAAGTAGTGTATTATTTGAAAGTGAAAACACTGCAGAATGAACTGACAACACTGAGTTTAACTGGGTGGCTCTTTGGACTACCATGCCGTATCAGAACCCAGTCACTTCTCATGTGTCATTTTTATCTATCATTGTGTCTTTGTACCCATTCTACAAAGTTGTTACACCATGAGAGACTTAAAATATTCTTGGTGGCTTAAAAGCTGCTTCAGCCTTAATTTGAGAAAATAAACAACTTTCCAGTGATCACCAGTCAAGGTTATCTGTCAACGTCACGACATACAAGGGAAACATATCAAATCAATCCAACAGATATTTACACACACCTACCATATGCTAACTGTATGACAAGGGCAGGGAAAAACAAACTACTTATCTTAGTCTACAGCCCATGAAAACAGGGCGATGGCTTAGAAAGATGCAGGAATTTTTCCAGGGCAATAGAAAGCATTTCCTTGTGGGGTCGGGTGTGTAGCTCAGGGATACAGATTTGCCAAGCATGTGTGAGGCCTGAGATTTGATCCCCTGTATTGCAGGAAAAAAGTTTCTTTGTGCAAATTTTTAAACTGTAAAATTATTAATTTTTAAGATTCAAAAATTGAAAAATGGCCAAAGTAAAGGGCAAAATGAAAACATTAATTATGCTTTCACCCTTGTCCAGATTAAACACTATTACAAAAGGGAAAGATTAGTTTGTGCTCTGGGAAACTGAGACATTAGGAGACACACTCATGCATGGATGAACTCCTCAACACTGGGCTTGGGTCAATAAACTTTCTGTAGAGGGTTAGAGAGCAAACATTTAAGGCTCATGGGATCCACGCAGTCCTGGTGCCAGCACTTCTGTCTCTGAAGCGTGAGAACAGCCCGAGCTGATGCACACAGGAGCAGGCACGGCTGTGTTCTGGTTAATTTACAGACACTGAGTCTCACAGCGCTGTCCCAGGTCATGAACAGTTTTTAAGGGAGTAATTTAGGAAGGACTGTCAGGTGGGAAACGTGCACTGTGGTCCAGGAAGAGACACAGCCAGAGTTTGAGGACGTGGCTAAGGTAGAAATAGGACAAAGAACACAAAAACAGAAGAAGAATGCAGAGCAGTTGGAATGCAGTTGAGAGAACCTGTTTAGATGGCCTGCAGAGTATGTCAGGGGGTATAAGAGAAGGCTTGGCCACCGGGGATCAAGAGGTTTCACCTCTACTGTTTTTGTGTGGAGGCAAAGCATGTAGCATTATAGCGTAGGCCCAGGAGCCAGACTGCCTGGTTTTGAGTGCTGCATCTGTCACTCATTGCTTCTCTGGTGTTGAATGACATACAACTATTCTATCCCTCAGTTTTGTGACCTGTGAAATGGGAGGAGTCAGAGGCGAAGGAGTTTCCATGTCAATCCACAGGGACTGAGGCAAAGTGAGCTGGGAATCAGAGAGGGATGAAGCCACCATCAATGACAGAGATGACAAATGAGACAAAGTCACAATAGAATTTTTTTTTAAAAAACCCTCAAACCAAATTACTTGAAATATTGTAACCGAGTCAAAAGGAAAATTATAGACATAAAAGTCTGGGGCAACTCTTTTCCCCCACATTAAATAGGAGCAGGTAAACTCATGCCTAAGGATCCAGCCTGGCCTACTGCCATTGTTTATCTGCACAAAAAACCAAGAGTGAATTTTGCGTTTTAAAATGAGTTTTAAAAATGGAAAAAAAGAATATTTCATGACTTGTGACAGCGTTGTGAGACTCAGTGTCTGTAAATTAACCAGAACACAGCCGTGCCTGCTCCTGTGTGCATCAGCTCGGGCTGTTCTCACGCTTCTAACCCTCTACATAAAAAGTGTATTGACCCAAGCCCGGCGTTGAGGAGTTCATCCACGCACGAGTGTATCTCCTAATGTCTCAGTTTCCCTGAGCATCAACTAATCTTTCCCTTTTGTAATAGCGTTTAATCTGGACATGGGTGAAAGCATAGTTAGTGTTTTCACTTGCCCTTTACATTGGCCATTTTTCAATTAGGAGGATGTTCTTTTGAATATTAAAAATTATAGTTTTACAGTTTAAAAAGTTGTTAAAAGGGTCAACTCAGTTCAGTTCATCCAGGAGTGCCCTCGTTGCCCTGGGGTGGCCTCAGAACAACGGTGTATGCAGATCCTGTAGCCTGTCCAGGAGCCCTGCCCTCCCAGGGGCGCCTGCCAACAAGGAGTTTATATAGACTTACAGGTTTTGGTAACTTGGCAGCTATAAACTCATAAAATACTGGCCACAAAAATTAGGAAAAGTTCCCTAAAAAGCTTTTTAAATTTTCATCTGAAAAGTGAAACACCCTTTTAAAGCCCCTGGAGGAAGGGGCTGGGGATATAGCTCTGTGGCACAGTGCTTGTCTGGCAAGTGGGAGGTCATGAGTTTGATCCCCAGTACCCCCCTAAAAAAGATTTATAAACTCTAAAACCTAATTTGGGCTAGGGATTTAGCTCAGTGGCCTATGCATCTGTCTGGCAAGTATGAGGTCATGAGTTCAATCCCTGGTATCAGAAGGCTTTCATATTTAAAATCTCTATTTTATACATATATTTTCCCTTCTGCAAGCATCTCTTGATGGCTAAAGGAATAACAAGAGTATACAGCCTGTTGTTTGGATGTGCACATAGACCAGAGAGAAGTGTGGAGAAACCAGGGGAGAAACTGCAAGCTCCATAATATGTGCAAGTAAAGAGACGGCCAACATCAGTCCTCCTGCCAGCCGCCTTGAAGTTGTCCACTTTCCCGCCCTTTCTCTTATCTTCTGCAGGGATAAGGTGCTTTACAGGAGCACTATGGTTCTTTTAGCAAAGACTTCACCAGCATAAGGCTCTCAATATCCCGAGCCTGTGGGCTTCCTTTTCATATGCTATATTGGACATATATTGGTCCAGATTTCTCACATAGGTATTTTGAAAGTTACTCTCATCTTTATGGTAAAAAATAAATAAATAAATATTTCTTCTAGAAGAGAAATAAAAGAATAATTTTACCAGCTGATACTAGGTAATAGATTGTTATCCATGTCTATGCTTGGTAAATTCTGACTTTGTTTAGACGACTAAATAGTGACAATACTTATTTTGAAAAGGTACCTGTTGTAAACCAGGGGTGGTAGCACTCACATGTAATCTCAGCACTCAGGAAGCGGAAGCAGGAGGATTGAGAGTTTAGGGCAGGCCAGAGCTATGAAGTGAGACGCTATCTCACAAAACAAAAAGAAGGGGCTGGGAATGTAGCTCAGCAGAGCCTGCCTGGCAAGTGCAAGGCTGTGAGTTCAATCCCTGGTACCAAAAGAAAGAAAAAGTTTAAGAAGAAATGAAAAGGAGGAAAGAAGGAAGGAAGGAAGGAAGGAAGGGGAGAAAGAAAAAGAGAAAGAGGAGGAGCAAGAAAGAAAAGAAAAGGAAAAAAATATACCTGTTGAAATCAGGCCGAGTGCAAGACCTCTGCGGGTGTCAAAATACTGGCACGTAATGGTTACTGTTGCAGTGTACAATAAACCACATCCAAGACCTATGAATAAAAAGACATTGCATAAATTAAGAAAGATTTCATTGTTTTAAATCCATGAGAAGAAAAGAAAAAAAGCAGTAATCAAGTGTCTCCACTAGAACGTTCTCTTACTGGTTAACTTTGGAGCACAAGTTCTTAGATTCCTTTCATGTCTATGTTATCTAACTAACAAAAATGAGTATCATTAACTAATACAGTTGTCATTGTTACATATAGCACACTTTGAGACATTAAATAATGGTGTTTTGGGTGGTTTACAACTATAATGCTAGCACTCTGGGAGGCTGAGGCGGTAGGATCACAAGTTTGAGGCAGCCTGGGCGATTTAGTGAAATCTCATCTCAACATAAATAAAAAGAAAGAAAGGGAAAGGGAGGGGAGAGGGAGGGAGAGGCAATTCAGTGCACAGATCCTGGGCTCAAACTCCCGTGTTATGAAAAAAAAAAAAAAGACGTGAAATAATACCTGGTTTTGGAAAATTGATTTTAATGATTTTAATTGATTTTTTAAGCGTCACTCCTAAAAGAGACTATATTTCTGAGAGCCTTTGGAAGGGGAATGGATTTACTTCCTGATTTTGCTGTGAGGGTTCTGTCAAATGTTAGGCACTGAGAACATGGGGAAAAAAAGACATTCCCTGACTTCAACTTTGAGATCAGTCTGAGCTACATAGCAAGTTCAAGGCCAGCCTGGACCACATAAAAAGACCTTGCCTCAAACAAAACAAAACAAAATGACATGTTGCAGCAGAATGGATACAGAAGATATGAGGACCCATATCGTCGATAAAGCCAGACATAAAAAAGATTTACAAATATGTAAAAAGTCATTTGTTTGTTTCAATTTTGGAGTATGGTTAGTTTTCACAGTAAGTGTTTTATTTATATTAGCATATTACAAGAGTTGTAAAAATTAAGAGAAATAAAAAATGCAAAATTTAGTATCTATATCTAGAATATTGTAAGTACTAAAAATTAGTCATTTAGATTGTAGTTTTCTTCACTTTTCACTCAGTTATGAAGGCATTATGCAGATATCACCTCAGACAATATTAGAAAATCATTTCCTTATTACAACTGCACAACCATGAGAATCAAGAGTATCTTTAATGACAAAAAATCATTTCAAATGGGGAAGGGAGGAGAGGCTTCTAAACGCTACTTTGTCTACGGTAAGAATACAGGAAATAGTGTTTATATTGTTGCCATCAATGTCTACAGGGGTTTTTCCTTCTGTCCTATTTCAGTGAATTACACAACAAAATAAAGTTAGATTTTTCCAAAATCAAGATGGAAATATTAAGAAAATCATAATCAAGTAGCTAGAAACAATATATTCTAATGAAAAGAAAATGCAAAGAATTGATAAGATGTGTTCTTTTCAGAAAAACAAAAAGAAATTGTGAGAAGCTTCTGTAACTCACCTCTTGTATCACCTTTCCTATAATATTCCTAACCTCATACCACACGTTAGTGAAGTTATTTCTTTAATGCAATTATTGAGAAAATAGTAGTCTGAACTACAGGTTTGGCTATGTGGCTTTGATTCACTCGAAAACTGACAAGCTGTCATTTTATTTGAGAAATAAAAAACCTAAACAAGATGATGTATGTGCAAGACTGCATTTCTTAAGAGATCAATTAATTGATCAAACAGAGTTATGGAAAATAATACACTTTAATGTTATTTTGATATTTTTAGATTATAATTGGATATCAACTATAGATTGGATATTAGTTTCTATATTTGCTGCTCTATTACACAACTGTTTCTGATTCCATGGAGACTCTTTTATAACCCAAAACTGCTCTTATATTCTTAAACTAAGAGGTGAGAGAAGAATGGAAGAAAGGGACACATATGTGTTAAATACCTCTGCATGCCACTCAAATAATTACCTCACAGTCATGCTACCTCTGTGAATTCATGAATCCACTTCATAAAAAATAAAAATGGAGACTCAGTGCAGTTGTATGATTTTAAGATCACAAAACTATTAATTGTGATTATGTCCTGTCCTTGCACTATGTCATTGATCCTTACCAAAGCCTACAAAACAGATGCTTTGACTTTGCTTTTAAAAATGAGAAAAAATGAGGACAGGAAACACATTTATCATCTCACACCGGGAAGTAGAGATAGCTAACCCACTTGGTCTGATCCTAAAGATTGCCTGTTAGTGCTAGCTCTTTCTCTAGCTCACATTATCCAGTTTATGAGGCCACCCAGCTCATCCCAGACATGGGAAGGTCCTTGGAATACGACTCTGCATAGAACTGATGCTCAGCACATTTCACCCTTTGTTACGGTTTAGGTCTAGGATGGTCCCCCAAAATATCATGCACACAAGGCAAGGCTTTTGGAAGGTGAATTGACCATGCTGTAATTAAATGTGCTATTTGGAAATAGGGCCTGGATAAAAAAGGTGGGTCACTGAGAGCTCAATCTAGAAGGGCACACTCCCCTTCCTAGCTTCTTATTCTCTTTCTGCTGCCTGGCTGCTATGATATGAGCCATTTTCCTCTGGACAGAGCCTTTCATCATCCTGCTTCTGACCTGGATTCAGTGGACTATGGGCTGAAACCTAAAACGGTGAACAAAATACACCTCTCCTCTCAGTTGTGGGTGTTGCTTATTGTGTCTCAGTGATGGGAAAATGACTAAGACAAACTTTGGTACCAAAGAAGTGCCATCATAATCAGGTGGTTTAGAAGCCTTTGGAACTGATTTACAAGAAGAGTTTAGAAAAATTTAGAGATACAGGCCAGAGAAGCCCTAGAATGCTGTAAGACAATCGTGATGAAAGATTCTGGTTACAACTCGGAAGACCAGAATCCTAATAGAAATGTATATAAAAAAGGTGTGGTTCAGGAGGTTTCAGTTAGGAATAAAGACTGTTACACAACAGGCAATATATGTTAGCCGCTGGCAGAAAATTTGTTTATATTTTGCTCATGTCCTAAACCTCTGTAGGAGACTAAGATTAAGGGTAGCAAACTAATCAATCTGATGGAAGAAATTTCAAGGCAGCCCAACATTCAGACTGTGGAATGAGTACTGTTACTGGCTCTCGCCAGATCCACATTGAGAATTCAGAGCAAATGGCACAGCTGAATGATTTCAAAAGTTTTGAGTCTCACTGGAAAGCACAGCAAGACTAAAGGACAGTATGTTTGCTAAAAAGATTAGCCTTAAAAAGAAGTCAAATATTTTGCATTAGGACAATAGGAAATATTCCTTGAAGGCATCTAAATAATCAGTGAGACACTATCTTTCACTGATTTAAAATTATAAAAGTAAAAACAAACTCCTTTGAAAAACTTTGCTTTGAGAAGAGAACCCTAGACCCCCTACTTGCAAAGGGCCACATAAGATATTGGTTTGCTGGCCTCACACGTAAAATTGTAGCATTTGGAAGAGAGAGGCACTTAGACTGGTGTGGGTTCAAGGCCAATCTGAACCACATAGTGAGAACCTATCTCGAGAAAAAAATATTTAATTTAAAAAAAATTTTTAAATAAAAAAGCCAGGCATGGTAGTGTATACTTGTAATTCCAGCACTCAGGAGATTGAGGCAAGCAGATCATCATAAATTCAAGGCCAGTTTTGTCAAAGCCAAACTGAATTACATGGGGACAGCCTGTCTCAAAAAAACAAAACAACAATGTGTCTTAAAATATACTTTTTACTTCTACTGTAAGCTTTGGTTTGGGCCTGAAAAAAGATATTGTGGATCACAAAGAGCTATTTGTGGACACAAATATCTTAACAGAGCTGTTTACCTGCCCAATGGGACGACGGGACCACTTCCAAAGTCGAAGAAGAGGCAGATATCATGACATCTAAGTTTTATTTTCTCCTTCTTTCCTTTTTTTCGGTGTTATTTAGAGACAAGTGCTAACATAGAAACTCATCACCCTATGCCTTCGAGGAGACAGGACTAAAGCAACAATTTTGGGAGAAGCAGTTACTGACAGTAAGTTATTAGTAAATTTTTTACTCCTTACTTAACTGAATAATATACCTGACAGTAACGAAGGGACTCATGATTTGTAAAGTCAGAAAAATGTTTGTAAACAAGGTCCTTACCTACAATAATACCGTAGGAAAAAAACAGAAAGTAGATATTGGGAGCAAAACTGCTGAGCATCAGGCCTCCAGCCACCATGAAGCCACTGAAGATAGTGACTGGTCTCGCTCCAAAAGATGACACACAGAGACTGCAGACAGGACCTATAAAGAAAAATCGAAACCTCCATTTATTTAGCAGTAACCCCTTTCCCACAATGAAGTGATCTGTACACCATAAGTTCAAAATGATTCTTTCCATCATAAAAACCACACCAAAAATAGACATCTGCACTACTATTTGCTATGTATGAAATACTACATGAGGCACTTCCCATAAACAATCTCTCAAATCATCTTAATGTTAGTATCACCCTGGAAGGCAGATACTAATTATCCCAATTTTTTTATAAAGAAATTAAGAAGTGCGGCTGGGGATTTAGCTCAGTGGCATAAGTGCCTGTCTGGCAAGCGCAAGGTCGTGAGTTCGATCCCTGGTACCAGGAAAAAAAAAAGAAGAAAGAAATTAAGAAGTGAGGCCGGGTGACACAAGGCTGTAATCCCAGCACTCAGAAGGCTCAGGGAGGAGAATTGTGAGTGTAAAGCCAGCTTGAACTACACAGCATGTGTGAGGCTGGCCTGGACCACATAGTAAGACTGTCTCAAAACAAAGCAAAACAAAGTGACATTTAGGGTCGGGAAGATCACATAGTTTAAAAGTTTAAAAAGGAGATTTTTAGATTCAGACTTCATTTGAATTCTAGCTTTATTTAAAATTAAGTACTACTAAGTTGTGTCATCTCTCTGTGCTTCAGTTTCCTCATCTGAAAACGGGAATAAGAACAGTACCCAACTTCCAGTATTTCATTGCCCCACTGACTGCCCAAGACAAAAAATACCAAGTGTTAACAAGTATATGGAACAAGCAGAATTCTTTTTTTTTTTAAATTTTATTTAAGGAGAAAAGAAAAAAAAAGCAGAGAAAGGGTGCAAGTTATACAGATTTACAGAAAAAAATAAATAAACAGTAGGAAATCACTAGTTAATGGATTACATATTGTCATCTTAGAAATAATTGTTCAAGTCACAAAATTAAAGCTTGTAAAGTGGACATTCCAACAATGATACTGCAAACAGTTCTGTTCAATGATCCAATAAAACTCTGTGATATCATTTTCTATCTTATACACTTAAATATACATGCAGTTATATAGTTTAGAGCACTTTCTTTTCCTCTCTTTTGTACAATGACTATTATACATTTTGGGTTTCATTGCTCCCACGGTTCTTATTACTTTTTTCAAAGAGAGTAAAACCAAATGTGACATAACAGAACAGAATCGGCCAAGTCAAAAGGGTGGACATAATAGATAATGTAAAAACATAATACAAGGTGATCAACAATGGTTACCATAATGCCTCCCGCTATCTCTAATAGAATTGCCTATATCATTAGTTATAATAAAATTGAACAAAACAGTAAAGAATAAAACCAACAAAACCAAAACATTGGAGACATTGTAGGTCTTCAAAAGTAGATAAAAGTCAACGAGAATGGGCGTTATAATGAATCTCATTATCTTCACAGCTGATGCCTAAACTTTCGAACCTGATACTATCCAGCAAAACAGAATAGGGGAACATCAGTCAAAAACAAGATGGTGAGAGTAATACAGGGCTTTAAATCGAGATAATGGAAAGTCAAAGTGGATTACTATAATATATCCTGCTATTTTTTTCCTTTAATTAAAAGGATAAAAATAAAAAAGTAGATAATGGAGTGGAGATTGAGATAAAAGAGGGCATAACAGCGAAACAGCGCAGATCAAAACATAACCATTTAAGCAGAATAGTGTTTCACCACCAGATAATCCTGACCTAAAAGTAGTTACCATATTGTCTCTTTCACAAGCAGAATTCTTATATACTGCTGGCCTCATCTGCCAAAACTGAACATGAGCCCAAAAATTCGAATGTCTATGTACACATACAATATAAATGTCACATCAAAAGTTATCTACATAAATCTCCATAGTAGAATTATTGATAATTGCTCTACTCAAGAAGCCACGATGTTCATCAGCAGGAGGGTATATGAGCAATTGGGTATATTTGTACAGTGGCCTGCCATATGATAAGAAGTATGACCTACAGCTACACATGACAGTGTGGATTCAGCTTCACAAACAGATATTCAGCAGAAGACACCCAACACAAAGTACAAACCACGTCATTCCAATTATAAAACAGGCGCTATTAACATATCAGGATGGTGTTTTCCTGCAGAGGGAAACTAGCTAGTAGTTAGCAGGGCAATGCAGTCAGAAGCACTGCTGAACTTTGAGATTGCTGTTCACGTGCTGAGTCTTAGTGTGCACAATCATATAGGTGTGTCAGCTTGTGCAAAATCATCACATTTTATTTTCATGATATGTATGCTCCTCTGTATGGATCTTCTATATAGACTTTTCTAAGTTACCACAGGCTGAAAAATGATGAAATTCTTCCACAGCCTCGCTGTTAGGAAGTGGCAGAGCCAGAACCCAATAATCCTAAACCCTCCAATCTTCCAATATCAGAATCCCTTAAGCACGTATTCAAGACCAGATTATGACCATACTGCTCCCAATGCTTATGGCTCTCCCACATTCCTCCCTGGTCATAACTGCCTTCTGTCACTGCTATGTGTGCCTCTCATGTGAGCCAGTGCAGAAGAGCGGATGACAAACATAGGGAAAAACTCTGCACCAGTATTTTAAAAGAAAAATCTATTTGAAACATCAGACTTAACATCGAATAGTGGAGCTGTCTATGTATGTAAAGAGAAATACTTAGAAATGGTCTAGTAGAAATTGTCTGGCAGAAATGGTCTTCAGGGTCAAATTTCATAGCATGGTGTCTGACAGAATATGGCACTATCCTCTCTTGTTTACTAACTTCATTGACATAGATGGTCAGCGTTTATAAAGTTAACAGGTACAGTGGAATTGAAATACACAGAGATTATTACTGGCATGCTTAAAAAGTTCCATTTTACATCCTCAAACTAAATTTTTAAATATATACTCCTTGATGCATGTTAAGTCCACAAAGAAATATAGGCTTGGAGTTTCTGAAGGTTGGGGTGAAGGATACTAATTTCCATAGTATGAACAACCTAAAACTAGTGTTTTATAAAATATGCATCATTACCAGTTTGATAAATTCTGAAACTCTGTTTTTTTTTTTTTTTATTTAAGAGGAAAAAGAGAAAAACACAAAACAAACCAAAGCGGCGTAAGGGTACACGCAATACAGAACTACAAAACAAAACAAAACAAAACAAAACAAAACAAAACAAAAAACCATAACAGTAAGAAATTACCTGCTAGTAGATTACACACTATTTTCTTGAAAATAGTTCCTCAAATGAAACTCTGTTTTTGAAGACAGAGTTTCACTAGTCTCCCTCTCCCCAAAAATAAGACCTTGCTAGAAAATAATCAGCCTTGAAAACTAGAGATCAAAATTCCTGCCTCAATCAGCCCACCCTTTTTTTAAATCTGCCTTACTAAGCAAGAAAATAGTGTTGGCAGGTAAGGCAGAGATAGGCTGATCGGGGCTGGCATTTTTGATCTTTAGTTTTTAAGGCCTTTTATTTTTCAGCTAGGTCTTATCTTGGGGGATACCTGGTATACAGCCCAGGTTGGCCTTGAACTCACTGCCCTCCCACCTCACCCTTCTGAGTGCTAGAATGATAAGCTGGTTCCACCATGCCCAGCTTGTGATCAGTTCTCAAATCATTTTTGCTAAACATATTACTCTTTCCAAAACGATGTTATGTTAGGAAGAAGTGATCAAAAATTTGGCAGATATAAACACCAAACTGAAAAAGCAGCTTTATAAAAAAAAAATCCCATTTTTCACACTGCCATCTGCTGCTAAATTAGAGGGAAAATGTCTCGATGTCAAAAAGACAAAGAAATTTATAGCAGAAACCCTTCATTTTGAAAATGATGAAACTGAAGTTCAGATATATCGTGTGATTTCACCAAGCATCCATAGCTAGTCAGTGACAGGGTTAAAGCCAAAACCAGCCAAGTGTTCATCTCAGTTGGGGAGTATTTCAATCAGTATCAGATTTTTTCACCTGAAAGTGAAAATATGAGTGAAAAAAACACCAAAGTACTGAAATATTGTACAGAGTAAGTACTTTCACAAACTTACACCAGACTAAAACATGATATTCACAACCACTTGGTATTTCAAAGTTAGAGTAAGTTGTCTTTCCCTTATCCTTAGAAAGTGTAACCAAAACCCAGCTATTACTCTCACCAATCTGGAGCTGCCTGGCATACTGGAAACTGGCCAGTGCAGTGAAATCCTGTGGGCAGCAGGAATGTCACCTTCCTTGAAAGAGTGAGGAGAGCCAGCAGCTAACACTCAAACCCACCACTGCCAGGACTTGGCACTCTTTCAGCAAGTGCAGTTGGCTACGTCGCCTCACTACTATCTTGGGGATAAGCCCACTGATTCATAAAGAATTTGAGAGCTGGAGGAATTAAGGGGAAAAAAGACTGTTAATTTGGGGCATTGTTGTGGGTTATCACAACTCATTCCATACCTTTCTAATGAAATTATGTGCTTTAGCATAATGGTAGCTGCCTGCATCTCAGTAGCTGGGCCTGAGCAATCTTTGTGTTAACCCACTTGGTATGATGCATGGCAAGGTATACACTCCTATGCAACAGTGTCAAATCTAGGTTTCTATCCACTTTATGGCCCGTGAAGCATTTTTTGTGTATGTATCCTTGAGCATCACAATGGGTAAGTTGGACACATGTTATTCTTCTCTTATGGTAAATATTCCCATTCCATACTTTTGTGATGAAATTATGTATTTAGCACAATGGTAGCTGGCTTGATGTCTCAGCAACTGCATCTGAGGAATACATAAAACATTGTTTGTGTTCACCCACTTGGTACAGCGGATGCCAAGATGTGTACACTTATGCAAAAGTGTCAAATTGAGATTTTTACTCACATAATGCTCCATGTATTGTGTATGTATACCTGAGCACCGTGGAAGGTAAAATACACACGAATTATTCTTCTGTAGAAATCTAATTTGCCACAGTGGAATCTGGGTGTGGCTCTCAGTAGCTGTGCCTCCGGAAAACAGGAAT